GCTCAACAACGTCAGTGTTCAAGTTGCTGGTACTGCGAAGCGCTGGCTGGGCACCACTGATTTAGACTCCGCAACTCTCAGATCAATCTGTGCATTCCAGGTCCAGAGCAACCCTTGGTAGATGGTGTAGAGGCTGCTTTCCGAGCGAGTGAGTCTTTTGCTCGAGCAGCACCACCTTCACGTTCATGCGAAATCTCATAGTTGAGCCTACCTTCATACAGTTGGCGTGCCCGTCTTTGGGCCTTCTCCAGTGGCCGCGCAAATGGAGGGTTCAAAGACATTTGCAAAGGCTTTCATGGCCAAGCACAACATTCCCACCGCAGCCTTTGCAGTGTTCAACGAAGCCTCGATCGTCGATGCTCGCAACTTTGTCGCCTCGTGCGGTGGTCCGACCAAGGTGGTGCTGAAAGCTAGCGGTCTGGCTGCAGGCAAAGGTGTGCTTCTTCCCGAAAATGAAGCCGAGTTTGAGCAAGGACTTCAGGATATTCTCGTGAACAAGGTCTTTGGCGCTGCAGGCGCGGAGCTCGTCATCGAGGCAAGGCTTTCCGGCCCCGAACTCTCTATCCTCACATTCGCAGATGGATACAGCACGTACAGCTTGCCCTGCTGTCAAGATCATAAACGTATTGGCGAAGGCGACATCGGGCCCAACACCGGCGGAATGGGTGCCTACACTCCTGCCCCGGAGGGTCTTGTTCCTGGAATGACAGAGAGAATAGAAAAGGAGGTTATTGCGCCGACTATCGCAGGAATGCGAAAGGATGGTACGTAACCCAGCTCTACCCTGATTGCAAGGCAAATCACTGATGCTCTTGTGCGTTGCTTCAAAGGCTTTCCATTCGTTGGGCTGCTCTTCACAGGCATCATGTTGGACGAAAAGGGCCCTCAAGTGCTCGAGTACAACGTGCGCTTTGGCGATCCTGAAACAGAGGCTGCTCTGGAATTGATCGACACCAGCGCCGGCGGCGCTGGGCTTGCGGAGCTGGTTTTGGCATGCGCAGAGAGGCGCCTGGACTCCGTCGTGCCCA